GGCTTGTATCAATGTCAATATCCTGATTGTGATATTAGACTCTAGTTTTGCAAAATATTACCATTGGGGAGACTGGGCAAAATGTACAAAGGATTCCATGTTATTCTTACAACTACATGAACCTACAGTGATCTCAATAAAAATTTCAATTAAAAAATGAATTTGAGATGGATCACAGGCCTACATATAAATTTTTAATAAGTCTTATCATTATAACTTTTTTGTAATTCCTAGGAGAAAATAAAGGGACTATCTTCATGATCTGGCAGTAGGAAATCCTTAGGAAGATTTCTTAAACAGGGGGAAAACGCCCAATACATATAGAATAAAAACTGGCAAATTGAATCTCATCAAATTAAAAACATGTCTGGTCATTAAAGCCATCCTGGTCACAGGGAGCTTGCAGACGGGGGCAGAGTGTGGGGGGGTTCAGAGGTAGCGCTCATCCCCGCCACCCTGATGGAGGAAAACTAATCGAATGGCTCCATCTGGCTGCCAGGGCTGGGGGTAGCCACTGTGAACCTTGCCAGGGAAGCTGCCTCCCAGCGATGGTCCTATGCTGTGAAGAGAGGATGATACCACAAGCAATAATAATGGCTTGACTACCAAGAAAATTTGGAAGATGTTATCTCTCTCCACAACATTTCCAAAATGTAGGTATTATACTCCCCATTTTAAAGACTAGGAAACTGAGGGAGCCTGGGTGGCTCAGTGGGTTAAAGCCTCTGCCTTCGGCTCAGGTCATGATCCCGGGGTCCTGGAATCAAGCCTCGCATCCGGCTCTCTGCTTGGCAGGGCGCCTGCTTCCTCCTCTCTCTCTCTCTCTGCCTACTTGTGATCTCTGTCTGTCAAATAAATAAAATCTTAAAAAAAAAAAAAGACTAGGAAACTGAGTCTGAGGAAGTTGAATCAAGGTCCCCAGGCTCACACAGCTGATAGGTGGTGGGTCCAAGGACCCAGCCCGCATCTGTGAAATACAGTTACTCCAGCACCACGTCTGTGAGATGCTCCCCATTCTGCTACTCCTAGTGCCTTCCTCAGAGCCAGTCAAAATAGGGACACGCTGGTATTTATGGAAAAAAGAAACCATAATATCTGGAAGCAGAGAGGTGTCAATATGTATACATTCTTATCAGCTAACACAAAAAACTGGAAACTATTTGGTTTTGTGATTTGCTCTCAAAGTGAGTAAGTTCATTGTTGTTTCACACAGCCACGATACAATTCTAAGTGTTTAAATAAAGAAAATGCTCTTGGCATCCAATTTGGATCACAGAAGGGTCTTGCGGCAATAAACATAACTTGGCAGAAGAAAGAATGATTTTTTTTGTTTGTTTTTTCAGTCTTTCAGATACCAAAACACAGCAGTAACCTCTGAAGTTAGAAGTCTTTGTATGAAACAAAAGCAAAACAAACAAACAAAGCACCTTCCTTTGGCCAGGACTTAGAGGCAACACAATCTAATCACTGATGGAAATCATCAAATATGTAAAAGATTGAACTTTCATTAAATCAAGATGCAAAAAGCGGGGTGATCCACTTGGGAAAAATTGAGGAGGCTCTATATTGTCCAAACTGTACGCTTTTGAAAGTAAAAAGAGTTGTTATTAATAATTGCACAGGACAACAGTTACAAAGTCAGGATATAAAGACATGTAGTTGCCCTAAATTTGTTCTGTGGTTTAATTTGGCAAAGATGTGACTACATTTTATGGTGGAGACCTACCAATGGTGAGAAACTGAACCCTTTCAAAAAGAACAAAAAGTATCTCTCAGTGTCCTAGCAGTATTTTTCAGTGTCCTGATTTGAATTTTATTTTGGAAATAAAGTTCTAAGGGAGATTTCAAGCCATTCAAGAGCATGAGTAACCCCCACTTGGGGGCTACAAACATCACTTGGATTTAGTAGACCCAATCTGCAATTCTGTGTTTTACAGACACCCCTGTATTGATGTGCCTAAGTTTGCTTATTCATTCACCTATTTGGGACATCTCGATTATTTCCAGTTTGGGGTGATTGTGAATAAACTTGCTATAAACATTACATGCAGGTTTTTGGGTACACCTGAGTTTTCCAATCAATTGGATAAACATGTAGGAGTGTCATGGCTGGGTCATATATAAGATTACATTTAGCTTTGTAATAAAAAAAAGAGGGGGGTGCCTGAGTGGCTCAGTGGGTAAAGCCTCTGCCTTCTGCTCAGGTCATGATCTCGGGGTCCTGAGATTGAGCCCCACATCAGGCTTTCTGTTCAGCAGGGAACCTGCTTCCTCCTCTCTCTCTGCCTGCCTATCTGCCTACTTGTGATCTTTGCCTGTCAAATTAAAAAAAAAAAAAAAAGACAACATTTAGCTTTTTAAAAAAGTGCCAAACTGTCTTCCAAAGTGGCTGTATACCATTTTGCATTCCCACCAGCAATAAATGAAGAGTGTCTACTACTCTGGTGTTCTTCACCAACTTTTGTGAGCCAATATTATCAATTGTGGGGGGGTTTTAGCCATTCTAATAGGTTGTGTAGAAGTATGTCCTTATTGCTTTAATTTGTAACCCCTAATGAGAAATGAAGTTCAGGTTTTTTTTCATTTGTTTACTTTTCATCTGTATATCTTCTTTGGTGAGGTATCTGTTCAGATCTTTTGCCCATTTTTTAATTGGGTTGTTTGTTTTCTTTTTTGTAGAGTTTTGTGTGTTTTGGATAACAGTCGTTTATCAGATATGTTTTGCAAATATCTTCTTCCAGTTTATAGCATTTCTATTTAATTCTCTTAACAGTCTTTCACAGAGCACATGTTTAAAATTTTTTTATTTATTTAAAAAATTTTAAATTTGAGTATAGTTCATTAAAAGTTGTTAATTTTAATGAACTCCAACTTATAATTTTTTCTTTCATAGATCATGCTTTTGGTGTCATGTCTAGAAAGCCAAATCCAAGATCATCTAGCTTTTTTCCTGTTTTCTTCTAGAAGTTTTATAGTTACAAATAAATAGTAATTTATTTAATTAATAGTAATTTATTTAATTAATTTATTTATTAATTTATAAATAGTTTTACAAATATTTTATTTGTATCTATGATCCATTTGAGTTAATTTTTATAAAGGTGTAAGGTGTGTTCAGATCCAGTTACTCCAGCACCACTTTTTGAAAAGACTATCCTTTTTCCATTGACTTTCCTTTGTCCCTTTGTCAAAGAACAGTTGACCACATGTGTATGGGTCTGTTTCTGGGCTCTGTTCTGCTTCATTGGTCTATGAATCTATTCTTTCACTAATATGCTGTGTTGCTAAGTCTTGAAGTTTAGTAGTGTCAGTTTTCCAACTTCGTTATTCTTCTTCTTCAGTATTGTGTTGGCTATTCTGGGTCTCTTTACCTTTTTATATATATTCTAGAATAAATTTTTGGGTATCCACAAAATAGCTAACTAGAGTTATGACTGAATTTGTGCTTAATCTATACATCACATTGGGAATAACTGACATCTTTGGAAGATTCATTTTTCCTACCCTCAAACCTGGAATAGCTCTCCACTTCTTTAAAACCTTTTGATTTCTTTCATCAGCTGGCATTGATTTCTAGTTTAATCCCCATGTGGTCTAGAACAGACTCTGTATAATTTCTGTTCTCTTAAATTTGTTAAGGTAGGTTGTATGGCCTGGAATGTGGTCTGTCTTGGTGAATATTCTATGTGCACTTGAGAAGAATCTTTATTCTGCTGTTGTTGGATGAAGTATTGTATAAACGTCAGATCAAGTTGACTGATGTTCTTGTTCAGTTCAACTATGTCCTTGCTGGATTTAGTCATCGCTTAAAAAATGGTGTTGAAGTTATTGGTTAAAATTTTGAGTTCATCTATTTCTTTCTCACAATTCTATACATTTTTGTCACATGTATTTTGATGATCTCTTGTTAGGTGCATACACATTAAGTATTGTTATGTCTTCCTGGGGAACTGTTCCCTCTTAACATTATGTATTGCTCTCTCTTTATTACCGATAAATTTCCTTGCTCTGATGTCTGCTTTGCTTGAAGTTAATATAACTATTCCAGCTTTCTTTTGATTAGTGTTAGCATGGCATAGCTTTCTCCACTCCATTTTAAAAAAGACTTCTAAAAAGATTTTTATTTATTTATTTGACAGAGAGTGAGAGAGCACAAGCAAGGGGAGCAGCAGAGGGAGAGTGAAGCAGGCTCCTAACTGAGCAGAGAGCCCATGCAGGCTCAATCCCAGGACACTGGGATCACCACCTGAGCCGAAGGTGGAGGCTTAACCACTGAGCCACCCAGGCACCCCAAAACCCCTTTATTTTTACCTTATCTGTGTCTTTATATTTAAAGTTAATTTCTTGGGGCACCTGGCTGGCTCAGTCTGAAGAGCATGCGATTCTTAATCTTGGGGTCATGAATTTGAGCTCCACGTTGGGGGTAGAGATTACTTACATAAATAAAACTTTAAAAAATTAAATAAAGTGAATTTCTTGCAGACACACAGTTGGGCCTTGTTCTTTTTTTTTTTTTAATCCATTGACACTCTTTTAATTGCTATAAACTGTTCACGCTATGTGTACTGTTTTCTATTTGCTCCACTTGACTTCCATACATAATTTTGAATTGATAATTGTGTGTTCTTTCTTAAAGGGAATCCTTTCAGATCCCTCAAAACCTGGAGCCACCCCTGCCTGGCATGCACTAAGTAACAACAGAAAAGCTGCACGCCAGGCTCTGGTTGGGCTGGAGGTATGCAGGGCTTCGGGGACGCGACTGTACAGTACCTGAGAGCACTGGGTCTCTGCTTGGTGAGTCTAAATGCCCTGGACACTAACAAACACATCAGCCAAGGAGAGCGTCCCTACAGCACACGTCAGCTTGCAAGGGGGCGGGGCTTGCGGGGGCGTGGATTACGTGTCAGCAAGTTTGTTACCTGGACGACAAACACGCCCCACCCGCCCCCCGCAGCCCCGCGCTGTGTTGCCCTGACGACCGTGGCTGGGTCGCTGCAGAATAGATTGGAAACTCGCTGCACTTTGAGGACCGTGGATCTGTCGAGGGATCGTTCGCGGTGGCTCAGTTTCCTAGGAATATATTGCAACAGTAGGGATAACAGGGTTGTGTGCCTTTTCCTGCCCGAATTCCTCGGCAGGCGCTCCGAAGCGTTAAGGGCTGCGTAGCCGGGCTCCCCCACTCCATGCTGGGAAGGGACTTTGCGGAAAACCGCCTGGCAAGCCACGACCCTGCGGGCGGCAGGCTCCGCTTCCCCCGTAGGGTGTTAATTTTGCATCGGGGCATTTATTTGCTGCTACTTATATTTACTTTACAGGGACGGGGGCTTTGTCTGAAGGAGGCTCTGGATTTGCTGGTCTTTGCAGCGGTTTGTCTCCAGGCTGCTGTTGGGAACAGCCCGAGTCAGAAGTTAACAGGGCTTCTGTCTTTGCAGAGCCATGGGCAGCAAGAAGAAGGAAATTGCCCTGCAGGTAAGCCTCAAGGGTCGCTTGCTTCTAGGGCTTGATTGGGGGTAGGGGTTGAGGAGGAGTGGAAAGAAATGTATAAAAGTGATACTATTTGCCAGCAGTACGTGACAGATGGTGTTCTCAAACTTGAATATCGTACCCTTCCATCTTAAAGGGGGAAAAAAAAACGAATCTTATCTCGACCCCCCCAGTGACAATTTTTGTGCCCTTAAATATAAGCAAACATAAAATGGGGTATAAGCTCTTTATGTTTATAGTGCTTATGCAAACATAACCCAAACATGAATTAAAATAAAACTAAAAACTCAAAAAAATAGGAACAAATACAATTCGATACTGACATATTTTTTGTTGAAATATAAATACAGCTTGCTTCGAGAATATGTAGGATTTTTTTAACCTGGGCATGCGTCTGTAACTATGTGCTCTCTAGAGACCCAGTTCTCCCACCACTGCCCTTTGCAATCATTTGCTTATTCAACGAATATGTTTTGATATTTTATGTGCTACACATTTGTTGTATAGAGGGCTTTACTTCATTTACACCTGGAACAAACAATTCTGTAAGCCAGCATCTGCTTTTGTTCCTGGTTCCAGTCAAGAAGGAGTGCTTTGCCATAAGCAGATTGCCTAGATGGCTCATAATACATGCACATTTGGAAGCAAATTTACAGGGTCTCCTGGTCAGTTTGGCCCATCTGGACACGCATTCAGGCGCCCACTGCGGAGCAGAATGACAGTGGTCTTGAGACACCTGATTTCTCTTTAATTGTCCTTTGTGGCATGGGCACTCCATATGTGAGTTTCCAAAGCCTAATAACTTAAAAAGGGAGAAAGCAATGTCATTGTAAGGACAGCATGTACTAGGAGAGGGTGGGAAGCGCTTTGGACTGAATGTCCAAAGACCTGATACAGTTCTTGACTCTTTTCTGAGTCATCTCTGAGACTTGAGATCAATCACATAACGTCTCTTGCTACAGCTTGCCCATCAATAGAATGAGCGAACCATCCCTTAAGGGCTTTCCAGCATTGGTACTCTAGTACTCTGGAGTTATGAAACTTTTCATATGTCTACATTCTGTCTGTAAATAAATTCTAAGCACCTGGACCTATCACTTACTGCTTTGTGAATGACTTCCTCAACCTCTCTGAGACTCCAGATCCTTTATGCAAACAGGAAGGATATTACAGAGCCTGCAGAGTTGTTGCGACGAGATTCCTTTAGGTATTTCAAGGCTGGATTGATTGCTGTCTGTAGTGGCTCTAAGATTTTTGCCCCATATGATTTTTCATCTGTCTATGCCCTGTGTCCCCTTTGGGAATATTTTTTGGTGATTTCACAAAAATGTTATTCCCCAGGGCTCTGAATTCAATGTGGTACTCGAAGTAAGTACTCCACTTACTGAGGGATGTTGCCACTCTACCAGATCAGCTCCTTTTTTTTTTTTTTTAGATTTTATTTATTTATTTGACAGAGAGAGAGAGAGCAGGGACCCTGCTCTCTCTCTCCCGCAGAGGGAGAGGGAGAAGCAGTCTCCCTAGTGAGCAGGGAACCCGATGTGGGGCTTGAACCCGGGACCCTGGGACCACAGCCCAAGCCGAAGGCAGACGCTTAACAACTGAGCCCCCTCCCAGGTGCCCCCCAGATCAGCTCCTTGAAAGCAGTGCTCTAGGGTTTGCGAGTCCAGGAACCCTGCCCTCTTTTTGAGTAAGACTATTTTGGGCTCCTTCTGTGACTGAAACAGAAATTACAGGACATCAAGAGATGGTCTGGTTAGATAGAATGTGCCACACATTCCTCATTCATTCCCAACCAAATGTAGGGCTTAGTGAAGTCAGAAATTTTCCATACTCTCCTGCTCCTGGCCTGTTCCTAAGAGAGATTCTTCAAGTGTTTAGAGTCCTGGCCCCACTGCTGGTGAGGGTTATCCCATGAAGGGGTGTACCACAGAGAGTTGCTACTGACCAACAGCTGAGCCACGGGAAGTGACTGTTGTTGGGGGGGGCACACTCTTCTGAACCCTCTGTCACCTTCTTCAGGACTAGAGGTGTGAGCCCAGGATGATGTTGGTCCAACTCTCTTAGATCACTCAAAGCATCAAGAAGAAGACTGTTCTACTTTTTCATAGAAACAAAAAGTATGGAGCTATGATTTCTTTAGAAAGATGGATCTTCGGCAAAAGATTTGCAGGTGTTACATGTCTCCAGCCCTTTTAAAGGAACAAAGATCTCAGCATACCTGTATTAAGAATGAGTGGTCATTGTCATGATCTCTTGATTTTTATGGTTTTAAATCAGCCCCACCCAAACTTACTTATTACAAAATGAAAGAGAATAATTTCACAGTGCAGAAGACTGACAGAGCACCTTAATCAAGTGATCCAAGTGCATATCAGCAATAAGGGGCTGATCGAAATTGCGTGTCACCTGATAGGATGCAAAGAGAGAACAGTCTTCTGCTTCCCTGACACTCCACCCCAAGCAACCAATTCCAACCAATCCAAAGATGCACAGCCTGAATCTAATCAGGAAACATCAAACACACCCAAACTGAGGGACAGTGTACAAAAATAACCCTCCCATAGTCATCAAAAGTGACCCAGAGGTCATGAAAATCAAGGAAAGACTGAAGAACAATTCCAGAAAGCAATTAAGCCAGTATGTGATTCTGACGAGATCCTTTGCTATTCAGGACATTATTGGGATGATTGGTAAAACCTGAATGGGATCCGAAGATGGCATAGTAATAATATATCAGTGTTTACTCACTGACTTTGAGGGTTGTGTTGTAATTAGATGGGATAATGTAGAAATTGACAACCTGTCCTAAAAAAATGGAAATGCAAAGGATCAAGAATAGGCAAACAGTTTTGGAAAAGAAAAACAAATATGGAAGACCCACACTGCCTGATTCCAAGGCTTATTATAAAGTTACAGTAATTAAAAGAGTATGGTGTTGGCAAAAGAAGAGAAAATAGGTCAATGAAACTGAATAGAGTCCAAAATAAACCCATGCTTATGTAGTAAACTCATTTCAGCAAAGATGCCACAGCAATTTAATGAGAAAAAAAAATCCTTTCTAGAAGTTTTGCAGAAACAACTGTACCTCTACATGGAAATAAAATTAACCTCAATCCTTTCGCACAATATAGATAAAAATTATTTTCAGATAGCTCATGGACTTAAATGTGAAAGCTTAAATTACAAAGCTTCTAGAAGAAAATAGAGGAGAGCATCTTTCTGATATATATATGTATATAAAATATATTATTGGGTTGTGTATATTGATTTATATTATATATTGATCAATATTGTATATTGATATATAATATATATATTATTAGATTATATGTATATATATACACAGTCTAATAATAAAAAGGCCAACAGTTGGGGTGCCTGGGTGGCTCAGTGGGTTAAGCCTCTACCTTCGGCTCAGGTTGTGATCTCAGGGTCCTGGGATCAAGCCCCGCATCGGGCTCTCTGCTCAGCGGGGAGCCTGCTTCCCCTTCTCTCTCTGCCTGCTGCTCTGCCTACTTGTGATATCTCTCTCTCTCTCTCTCTGTCAAATAAATAAATAAATAAAATCTTAAAAAAAAAAAAAGGCCAACAATCGAATAAAGAAAATGGACAGACCAATGGTCACTTCTCACAGAAGACATATAAATGGCTAATAAGCACACTAAATAGTGCTTATTTTAATAATAAATACTTTTTTAATAATTTTAACAATAAGCATTATTTAATAATTAATAATGCTTAACAGCCTTAGTCATCAGGGAAATGAAATTATAGCCACAATGAGATACCCACTACATTACCATTAGTGTAGCTAAAATCTAAAAGACTAACATTACTAAATATTGGTGAGAATGGAGCAAGCAGGACTCTCATACCTTGCTGATGAAAGTTTAAAATGGTACAACCACTTTAGGAAAAGCCTGGCAGTTTCTAATTAAACTGATCACGCATTTACCCTATGTCCCAGCAATGCCCCTCCTAGAGTATTTACTTACTGAAGATAAGTAAGAATATGAGCACAAAAGGATTTAACAGGAATGTTCATAACTGGGGCACCTGAGTGGCTCAGTTGTTAAGCATCTGCCTTTGGCTCAGGTCACCATCCTGGGGTCCATGGATTAAGCCCCGCATTGGGCTCCCTGCTCAGTGGGGAGCCTGCTTCTCCTTCTCCTCTCCGCTCCTGCTCTCTCTTGCTATCTCTGTCACTGCCTCTCTCAAATAAATAAAATCTTGAAAAAAGAATGTTCATAAGTTGTTATTTGTAATAACCCCAAACTAGAAGTGACCTAAATATCTATCAAGCAAATTACGATACAGCCATACAATGAAATATGCTCAGGAATAAAACTGGACAAACTACTGACACTCAGCCACACAGATGCTTCTCCAAACATACACTGAGTGGAAGAAACAAGCACAAAATAATGGGTGCTGTACTATTCCATTTATAGGCAGTTTTACAAAGCAGATCAGTGACCACCTGGGGTGAGGAGCAGTGGGGTGTGTGTGTGTGACTGGGACGAGACAGAGGAACTTTCGGGGATGATGGAAAAGTTCTGTATTGTGAGAGGAGTGTGGTGACCTGGGTTGTGTGCATTTGCTAAAACTTGGTGAACTGCAACCCTTTAATTCTGTGTATTTCACTGTACATAAATTGTTTCTCTAGAACATGTAAGAAGACCAAAAGAAAAAAACAAATGAATACCTTTCTGTATATGAATCTAGATAAATGTCAAAACTGGATTTGAGTGAGAACAAAAATGACAAAAAGATCTCTATAGTATGATATTATTTATGTACATTTTATGGACCCAAAACAATTTTATGTTTTTATTTTTGCACAAGCAACAAGAAAAAATTATTTAAAAAAAATGACTGAGATTTCCTTAGGTTAGTTATTCATGTGGATTGGAGGTAGGAAAAGACAGGAGGAGAAGGCAGATTGGGGAAAGAAGACAGCTTGAGCCTGTATTTGTACGTATTTCAGAGACGGAGGGAGGAGGAAGAAAAGGAGGGAAGGGGGGAGAGAGGGAAAGAGAGCGGGAAGGGAGGTAGCGAGAGGCAGGTAGGTAGGTAGGTAGGTAGGTATCTGGAGCAAATACATCAAATCCTTTCCCCATCCGTGTCCTCAGTAATAAAGCCTTTGTTCTTTGACCTTAGGTTAACATCAGCACTCAGGAGCTTTGGGAGGAAATGCTCAGTTCCAAAGGACTAACTGGTAATTTAAGTTTTTAGATCCAACCTTTTAAAAATTTCTACACAGTATGTTGAACCAGGAAGAGAAAAGCTGCAATGAGCACCATTTTCCTCTAATCTTGAGTTCCATAAATGAAGAGCCGAGTCTTTTCTTTGTGTGTGTAGATACATCCAACTTGCACATCTGTTAGTACGTTCAGTTCAGGAAAGCCATCAGGACTGCTGGCCAACAGGGCTCTCTTGTCTCAGAGCTGACTGTTAGACCCAAGGGTTGTTTGGTGTGAAGGAATGAAAACCTCTTCTGACTGCCTGAGTCATAAAGGGGAATGTACCGGAAGGAATATGGGGACCTCTTGGAACTCAGGGGCTGGAAGGAGAGCCAGGCTTCCCAAGGGGCTGGAACCAGGGACTGCCCCGCTATTAGGATACAGCATAGCCACTGTCCCCTGGGCCTCCTTCTCCCTATCCTCTTGTTTGTTATCTATCGCAATTTACTTAGTAGTTTAAAAAAATTAATATTTATTTTAAAAAAGATTTTATTTATTTATTTGAGAGAGTGAGAGAGCGCAGAGGGAGAGGGAGGAGGTGACTCTCTGCTGAGCAGGGAGCCCAATGTGGTGGGGCCTGATTCCAGGATCCCGAGATCGTGACCTGAGCCAAAGGCAGACGCTTAACTAGCTGAGCCATCCAGGTGCCCCCAAAATGAGCATTTATTATCCCACAGTTTCTGTGGGTCTGGAATCCAGGTGTTGCATTGCCTTTGGTTTGAGGTATCTCTAGTTTGGGGTCTCTCCACCAGGCTGTGATTAAGGAGTAAAACAGGGAATGTCAAAGCTCAACTAAAGTTCAGTTTGCTTCTAAGCTTGGTCATGTGGCTCTGACAGATCTTAGAAGGTTATTTCCAACTTTGTTCCTGTGACTGTTGGCAGGACTCCGGGCCCTGCTGGTTATTGGCCAGAGACATCAAATTCTTGCTATCAATTTCCCCACAAGCCTACTTACAACACAGTAACTTTCTTCACCCTGAGGAACGGGGTCGGGGGAGGGAGAGACATACGTAAGTCAGAATCTTTCTGTAACTGAATTTCAACAGTGATGTCCCATCGCTTTGCCCTACTCTGTTTGTTAGAAGCCGGTCACTAGGCCTGGCCTGCACTCAAGGGCAAGGGGTTACCTCCCAGGAGACAGGACTCCCCCATCTTAGAGGCTGCCAGTCACATCTGCCGCTACTGTTCCTTTCTCATCTTCATTGACCATGCGTATCTCTGGGCTCCCTTTCTCTCTCTGTATCTGCTCAGTTCTTCTCCCTATACACCTGCTCAGCAAGCTTGTGTCTGCTCTTATCTCTCCCCAGTGCCACCCACACCAAGGGACTTTAGCCTTCGAGGCCCCTACCCCTCTCCTCCCCCATGACTCAGTTTGTCTTTTCCAGCCCCTTCCCACTGTTCCTGGAGATATGTCCTGAGCTCCAGTTCAGTTTCCTGAACATGCCACAAGTTTCCCCACTTTTTCACTTTTATCCATGCTGTCCCTGATCCCTGGAATATTATGACCCCCAAGCCCAGCTCCAAAGCAGCAGCCTCCTTGCATGAAGTCTTTCCAGAATCTCTGTGCGGTCACTTCCCCCTGGGAGTCACCTGGGCATTTGGGGTGGGGCTCTGTCTCCCCCTCTCCGCCCAGCACACACCCAGCTTGGTGTGGCCCCTGTCTCAGGGAGCAGTCACGGCTTTCCCCCTGAACTCTAAACACAGGGGCATTGTCTTTTTCCTCTCCGTCTCCAGCAGACTTGCCCAGGCCTGGGACAGAGTGCAGGTCGCACTGATTTGGCAGCGTGGGTGGGAGTCTTGCCACATTCAACTACCTGAGGGATTACACAGCTTTTTTGATGGTGCCAGGTCTCAACTATTTTGTCTGCATGTTTCGTGGGTGCAGCTGGAGCATGGCTGTAGGGCAAAACAACCATTACTTCTGTTTCTTTAACGGCAGTAAGAAAACTATCACTTCATCCCATTTTGAGAATTTGCTGTGTCCCAGGCACCCTAGGTGATCACAGCTGACATCTGCTGGGTGTGGACTCTGTCAAGCCCTGCTCTAAGCATTCCAGGGAATTGCATCTTCTGGGGGCAGCAGGGGCTCGTCCTTCCCTTCTTATCGTGCAGTCTCGAGGAAGCTATGCTCTTCCTTTCTAGAGCCAGCAGACATGTGCTTCCAAAGTAAACCACCATCTTGGAAGTCTCACCTTCTCCAGGCTCATTTTCCCTTGCCTTCAAATAGGCAAGTCAATTCAGATTTACACGCATGCACACACATGCCTTTTCATTTTCTCTGCCATGTCTTTCCTCCCAGATGTCTTCTCTGTTTTGCTTCCTGTCTTTCAGTCAAACTCTTGATAGACTTCCTCTCTAGTCCTGCTCTCTCCCCCATAACCTTGTGAAGTATGCCTTTGCCCCACCACTGCTAAGATAGCCAAGGACTATGAGGGGAGATGGGAAGCTGAACTAAGGGTGCAAATCCTGCAGAGAGATTGGTGAGCTAATGGGACTCCATTTTTTTCCCCAGTGGGGTGTGAACATGCTTTCGTTGGTGGGCCCAAACACAGGCTCTCTAAGTCTCCAAAGACTTTTTCCTGGCTTGACCCAAATGATTTCTTCCCCCATTACTATGGTGTATTGAAATCCCTAGACCTCTCAAGTGTGATGCTGTTGTCCTCAGAGAAGCCCAGAGCTTTAGCTTCCATGTGGGTGCTCAGGAGGCCCAAGTCTGCCTCCATCTCTGCTGGTGCCTGGCTACCTTTGAGACCACTGGCCTTAGATTTTCTTGTTTGTACTAGAAACCCAGCGATCTAGAATCCATTTGACATTTCTCCTTCCCCCAAATGATCTCTCCCTGCCACCACCCTGTTCTTTTCCTCTGCCAGGCTCCTAGGTGGAGTCTTTTCCATACCCACGTGACTTTCCTCACCTGTCTTTCCCTTTCAAAGTCTGTGGATTCATTCCTCCCTTCCTCCCCTCCCGCCTGCACTGCCCCCCTGTGCCTGGCTTCCCCATGCCTCCCATACCCCACTTGGTTCTCAATTTCTCCCTGCAAAACTGTGCTGCCTGGCTGAAGCTAACCAGCACACTTGAACCCACGCATCTCACTCCTTTCCTGGAGTAGTTGAAACAGCATGCACTCAGACGAACCTGGGATCAAAGCTAGGTTCTACCGCTTGAGAATTCAATTGTTTTTTCTTTTCTTTTGTACCTTGGGTTACTTACTTCACGTCTTTGAACTTCACACAATCTAGCACCAGCTACGTCATCATGATGGGGCTGGGTACGTCCTGCGTGTGTCTGGTACCCATGTGTTGGCTTTGCTTAGCTTTCTCACAGGCCCTGTGGCCTCGTGCAATCAGACCAGAGGGTTCCCTCACGCCCAGTCCTGGCACACTCCATAGACTGCGACTGACAAAGAAAAAATTATCCGAGTTTCCATCTAGGTCTCTAGCAGATATACTTTTCAGGAGAACGACATTGATTTTATAAAGTAAATAAAACTCTCCTTTACCCAAAGAAGTGGCTTTTAATTCTTCAGGGGAAAATGTCAAAACTGTGCTTATTATCAAAGCACCTAAGAGTTGACTGTGGGCTAACAGGCCGCCTACAGTGACCTCTTTTAGAATAGATCATTTTAGTACAATTCAAATATTTATTGAGGGCCACTCTGTGCTAGCCCAACCATGATGGTAGCCTGAAAATCACCACAGGGAAAGGATCCCTGTAGAGAAAACTGTTTCCTACCACACTTACTTCATTATGTGTAGAGTTAAGAACACTGAGTTGTAAGCATGAGGGGCGGCTGTGTCTCCGTGCTGGCTCCCACTCCAAGGGGAGAGTAAACCCCGTGAGCCATTGAATAACCCTGCAAACAGACGTGTGCCTGGAGGGGGTTCAAGTTTGCAGGGGTAAGTTTTACCTGACCTGGAGAGTGCTGGTGCTCACTAAATGTTCCTGCTTCTTGGATGCACACAGTTGTCGATGTCTATCAAGGCTGGTGTGGGCCCTGCAAACCCATGGTGAGCCTCTTCCAGAAGATGAGGATCGAGGCCGGCCTGGACCTTCTGCATTTTGCATTAGTAAGTTCCTCACTCAGCAGAATGCCATGCAACACTGTAAAATAATTAAACATTTAAAAGCGGGGACAGGAAACGTGAGCTGCCCTTTCCAGATCATTGAAAAGGCATCAGTTGTGAAATTTTTGGTCATCAGTTATGAAGCTTTATAGTGTATTCCATGATGAAGGATTCCTACCCCACCCCCACCCGCCTGACAGTCACTGTGAGCTCAGGCATCTCTTGACCCTGTGCACAGGGAAGGGGTGTCTGTCACCCCACACGTGAGCATGCCATGGCTTCTGGCTCATGAACCCTGGGAACTCTGAAGTCTTACTGTCAGAGCACACAGTTCCAAGAGTTTTATGCTCTGCTTCTAGCATATCATGCTCTAGCATGGGGAGCTTCTAGCCAATGTTTACTTGGATCAATGTATGGAAATGGGAATAAATTCCAGAGAAGCGTGTGAGAGACACTCGGATTAGAGGTTCTAGAACACAGGAGAAAAGACACTTGCGCTCACCTCTCAAGGACTCGGCACTTTCTTCACAGGGCGTCAGTTCTGATACCTCTGGGAAAAGTGTGCGGTGGGAATGCCTGCCCCCGTACAGGCTTTCTCAGGCTCGGAAGGCAAAGTCTGAGGACCTTCCCCCTCTGTGGTTGTCGGTCTTGGCGGCAGCAAGATGGCACACAGAGCAGCAGCTGGCTGGGGAGCAGGAGGAACCTTGTTTCCACCTTGTCTTATTCTTCCAAAAAGCCCCCTGCCAACAATTTTTACCAGTATGTCCACAGGAGAGTTATTCTGATGAAAAGACATTAGGGGCCGACGCATGAGAGCCTGCCAGGGCATCTCCTGGGGCGGACAGTCACAGTGTGGCTGTGAGTGTGTCCGTGAGTGTGTCCGTGCATGGGGCAAGGTGTGTGTAAGAGGGATATGTGTGAGTATATACATATGGGTGTGTGTGCGTGTGTGCTGTGTGTTTATGGCGTCTACATGTGTATATAAGGGGTTTGTGTCTGTGTGTGTATTGTCCCGTGTGGTTCTCCCACCAGCATGCCCCTGTGTTCCTGGCACCCCAGGTCTCCCCTGACAGCTTGTTTTCTTTAGGCAGAAGCAGATTGTCTTGAAGTCCTGGAAAAATACCGTGGGAAGTGTGAGCCGACCTTTCTGTTTTATGCAGTAAGTACATCTGCAGAACCAGAAACACATTACAGATCATCAGGGTTCCATCTCACTGAAAGTCACTAAGAGGCTTCACTGATCCAAATGAGGGACGGCTTTCTCCTTGACTGCATTTGTTATTTGGGGTAGGAAGAGGCATGCTTACGTCATGGTGATGCAGGTGCCTGCCTAGCATGATGGCACAGCTCGCTGGCAGGGAGGCCTGGCACGACGCAGCTCCCGATGGTCCCTCTGGGCCCGCAGCCTTCCTGGCCGGCTATACATGGGAGAGAATGGGAGTCACTCAAATGCGTCTGTTCCTTCTGGCTCATGCGCACGCTTGACTGATGCTTCACAATCAGAGAGCAAGGTTTTCAAGATTTCCTCCGCCATAGAAGGAAGCTTTCAGCACACACACCCTAATGGGGTAGAGAAGCTCTGCGTTCATTTTTATTGAATCGTAAGATGTGAAGATATGCTTCCAGACATTCAGAAATGAGAGCCAAGTCATTCCATGTTTTGGAAGAGAATTTGGATGTCTTTGGGAGTGACATCCATGCTCTGGCCCCATGCCCCTCAGGGCCCACTGCCTCACTCCTGGCTTCATAGCTTAGGTTACCTGCCAGGCCCTAAAGGCAAGTGCCCGATATGCTCCTCCTGACTGCCGCCCCCTCCTCGTACAGACAGGGGAAACTGAGGTCTACCCACCCACCTCTCCTGACAGCCAGGCCAGGGTTGCTGAGTTTGGAGACCTTCAGATTCCTGCCCTTGGCACCACAAGTTTCAGAAACTGGAAGCTTATGGTGAACATTATCTGGGTGTTGATTCGTGATGGAAGATTGGAGTTAGATGCTGAAACAGAGGGGAGGACGGAGGGAGGAGTGGGAAGGGGCCACAGTGACAGCAGAGCACAGGCAGGGAAATGCGATCGCTGGCACAGGGGTTCGCTTGCTTGTGCCTGTGGTGATGAGGGCATGAATCATACTGGGGCTGTGTGGGGGCAGGTGCCAAGGCAGTGGGCTCCATCACAGCCTCTCCTCTGTGGGGCGGGATGGGAATGGGGAGGGCCTGCTCTCCACCAATTTCTGTGAGTAATAGGCATAGATTGACTGTCAAAAATGTTAAAGAAGGAGACTCAGTCACCCCAAACACCACCTTGATGTGATGGTGAACAAAGCTTCCTCTGACCACCCCATATGGAGCTGGGAATCCGTTCTTGCCCTGAATGCCAAGCATCCTGTACATTCCCCCTCTTAAAGCAATGATCTTATTCTGTGGTGATTGTTTATTTGATATGACCACCTCTCCCCACTTGACTTCCCGTTCCCTGAAGCAGGCAACTATGGCTTTTCACATGGACTGTTCATATGCTTTGCCTCTGTCTTGGCGCTTGGCCAAGTAAGTGCTCAATAGGTACTTTGTTGAGTGGACGAGCCACGACTAGGCCACCCTTAGTCACTCACAGCCTCGTTGCCCTGCTCCTCCCTTAACTAATTCCCTGTTTCCCTGAAGGCAGTTCTGAAAGGAGAGGCATGGGGGAGACGGCAGAGAAGTGGATGGAGGCCTCAACCTTGGGCACGCGCCTAAGCAGAGCGCTTGGACACTCGCTGTCTCTTAAAAGAGATGAAGATCTGTGAAGACGAGTTCAGGTGGTTTGGGTGGCACGTGTGTTCTCTGTTCTAGGGTGGAGAGCTGGTGGCCGTGGTTAGAGGCGCCAATGCCCCACTGCTGCAGAAAACCATCCGAGAGCAGCTGGAGGCTGAAAAGAAAGTTCTGGCCGAAGGCTGTGAGCGCAAAGTGGTAAGGAGCCCTCCTGCCAGAAGCGAACTCAGTGTCTCCCTGCCCCACAAATTTTCCTGGAGTGCTCAGTGACGTGTGTCATTAAATGCCCACCCTGGGGTCCCTGAAGGCTCAGGGGGAGGCAGTGCCCACTAGGGTATACATGCATTTTATCTTATTTTATTATTTTATTTTGGATTTTATTTATTTATTTGACAGAGAGAGAGAGAGTGGGGAGAGGGACACAGAGAGAGGGAAAAACAAACTCCCCACTGAGCAGGGAGGCACATGTGGGGCTGGATTCCAGGATCCCAGGATCAGGACCAGAGCTGAAGGCAGACACTTAACCAACTGAGCCACCCAGGTCCCCCAACATGCATTTTAAAAACTTCTTTTAAAAAGTCACCCCCTTCATCCAGAGCACTTGAACTTCTTTTATCCATTTCTCATTCATCCCCCACTTCAATTTTTTTTTTTAAAGATTTTTATTTATTTGAAAGAGAGAGAGAGAGATCACAAGTAGGCAGAGAGATAGGCAGAGAGAGAGGGGAAGCAGGCTCCCCGCCAAGCAGAGAGCCTGATGTGGGACTCGATCCCAGGACCCTGGGATCATGACCTGAGCTGAAGGCAGAGGCTTAACCCATGGAGCTACCCAGGTGCCCCCCAACTTCAATTCTTAACCGGGGTTTCTGGACCCCTGACAATGAGTTCAGAAATGGAAATAAAGTTACGGAGTAGAGTAGTAGGTAGAGGTGAGCCCTCTCCTGGTGACCTGCCCTTGCCTCCCATACCTGAAAGTTTACTTGCGATCCCCAAGGGATTATTTAATTTAGAAATTAAGCTGTCATTCACATGAGCAATAGGATCAGCATGGCTTGTGATTTTGATAAATTGTTTCCATGACAGCACAGTCTCTCACAGTTTCTCACAGAAAATTGGCTGCCATTAAACTCTGACACCAGCATCAGATAGAGGCATTTCCTGGTGCTCTGAGCTTCCGTCCAACGAGCCTTAAAGTTGTTCAGTGTTCATTGTTCAAGTTTTCATACTCACTTTCAAATAGTAAAGCCCTGTTTTTATAGAACGGATTAGAATCAATTATATTTTTTGCTGAAAATTACACACACGTGCTTGTGCCCCCTCCAGGGGGAGATGATATCTGTCTTCACGACTAACATGCCCAGGGGAGCCAGTAGCTAAGGATCTCCCTGTGTGTCTTCTGGCCGACTCCCTACTTCATCTTTTCTACTTGACACTTGTGGAAATGGGCCAAATCTAAACCTTAAAGTCAGCATGGATTTCCTTGTCTTCGAATGCCCTCACCCCCACAGTCATCTGGCTACTAAAAAGGGTCTTGTAAAGTTTCCAAGGCTGATGGTCTTGACTCCCTTTTCTTGGTTCTGCATTTCAGGCCTTTGCTTTTTTTTTTTTTTTTTTTTTTCTTCTGTCAGTTTCTGGAGGCCGTTGTGGTAATTTTAAATAGCTAACTACTTTCTGTTTGTGACCAATTTTTTGCTCTAGATTAGAGATGAGGCTCTGTCTGATGAAGATGGATGCCTCTCCCACGACAAGGACATTGGTGACGACGAGGACGTGGGTGAGTGCAGAACCACTCAGCAAGGTGAGAAGCAAAGGCTAGAAGCAAAAGACAATCAGTGATGTGGGCAATCGGAACTCTGGGAAGATTAACCCCAAAACATTCTGTTTCCAATCACCTGACTTCAAACATACTGTGTCAAATCTCCCTTCTGCCCTTTCTTGCCATCATAGGTACCTTTCACAGCTTTCCGATCATGCTCAACTGTAACAGGTATGACTTTTAAGGCAATAACCCGGCATCAGGAAAAGCCCCACCTAATAAAAAGGAAGATAGAATTTCAAGTAATGATGCTGGTGTTTCCTGGGTCTTTGTTTGAGTTAAATTGCTCATTTCTTTCCTTCACCTTTTCCTGAAGGGTCCAAAAGTCAGGAGTCCTGGGCATCATAGTTATTCCTGAACCTTTACTATGAGAAGAACAACTTGACCTGACAGCAGGGAATCCAGAAGTTAGAAGGTGGCTTGTGACAGTAACTGAGATGCCAGGGGAAATCAGCATTAAGTTCAGGAACTGAGTTGGAAGGAGAAGGAAGATTTTTATTATTGCGTGAACCAGAAAGGCTGCTTGTTCATGTGTAGATAATGGAGGCTGTTTGAGTTGGGATTCTAACAAGGAAAAAGGCACAGTTTGGAGAGCAAAAAAACTTTGTGTGAAAAAAATCAGTGTTTTGGCTTCTGCAAGAAACAGTTGTTACTGCCTTTTTTGGATGATCTCCTTTTCCCTCCCTCATTATTTCCTCTCAAATTGAATCTCTCCACCTAGAAAATAACATAAAATCTGCTCTTGCCCTTGGCCTTCCTCTCCTCCACGCCTGAGCTTCCTGAGCTCCCCACTTCTTGGGTACCCCTCACCTTTGGCTCCTGCCCGACCTGTTCTCTGGTGCTCATGGGGCACTGCTGACCTCCTTGGTGCCAAACCCAACACACAGTGTCCAGTCATATCCTACAGCCTCTTTCTGAGGACTTGGATGATGTCGACTGTACCTTCTTTCTCCAAACCCTCGTCTCTTTCTCATTTTCCTTCTACGTCTCTGGCCTCTCTGCAGCCTCCCCTTCATTTACCTTTTCTCATTTGCTCCCCTTTCAAGCTGGAATTTTCCAGGCCCTGATGTGGCCTCTTCTCTTCTCACCCTGTGTCTCTAGAGGATCACATTAACGGGTCATCGTATACGGGATTTCATTTTATGAGTCCCTTAAAGACTAAGTATTCATGGGATGTTAGAAATAAAATAGAAAAATGGATAATCTGTTGCTTAAAATGATTCACATTTTTGCAGTACCCATGTTTTTTGAGATTTTCAGAGTAGGAATCTCTCCTCAAATGCAGATGTTGTGTTTCATTGCCACACAACTGATACAAAGGTTGAGAACAGAAAATAGGCTATGGGGGATACAGAGTCTATGGAGAGGACAGGGAGCTCACCAAAGCCAAGCTGATACAAACAGGGGTACAGCAGGGATGGGCTTATGGACTGGACACCGAGCCCCCTACAGGCCTGAACAGGAACTGTACTCACATACCACCTCCGCAGGGCCTATGGACACTGACCGAAGGACAACCATCAGGACACTGTTCAGGGAGCTATGACTGATACCTTGGCTCCAAACAATGAGCCTGCCAACCTGGTCTTCTCTCAGGAGAATTTGTGTTGACAAAGAAGATGGTCGTTGCAGTTTGGTAGAATGTGCTGGTGCTGAAGAGTCATAGAGACTCAGGGCCTGGGGCAGTCTTCACTGCCCATATGCCAGGAAAGTTAAAAAGAAGCTCTGGCGAAGTAGCCAGAGGAGTGAGAGGAGAGCACAGTTGACAGCACTTAGAGGCTTCAAGTCAGAGGAAGGCACAAGTGAGGTCAGGCCCATGTTGCCTCTGCTCCAGTGCTCCCCAACTCCAAGCCAACTCTTTCAGTTGTTGCTGGGCTTCTGCTCCTGAGTGGTTGGTCTCTGATCTCCTCCCTGCTCTCCCTTCCATTTTTCCCTCCCCATCTCCACCTCACTCCTCTTCTCCCAGGTTCAAGTCCCTTGCCTCTCTCCGTCCCTTGGAGCCAGGTGGAGGGTGAGGTCTGTAGCCTGATCTATGCCTTGACTAGAGTCCAAGTGTGCAGGGGCACAGCCCAGAGGCCAGCAGGGGAGCCCTGGGAGCTGTGTGCAGAGGCTGCATGGTCCCTGTGGATACCCCCTGGGAGCCTCAAAGATGGGTGCTGGGAGCCCAAAGTCTGACAGCACCATCGTCTGCTTCTTGTAGCTTCATTAGGGACAACCTGCACCTTGGCCATCATTAAGCCAGACGCAGTGGTCCATGGAAAGACTGATGAGATTATTATGAAGGTAAGAAAGACCAGGCTTCCCGGAAAGACTGCCCTCATGTCTCCTCTGGTGGAAAAGCAGGGGCGGGACATCGAACAACAGTGTACTAGTGGAAAAGAAGGCCACAGAGAAGCTCCAACCAAAATGCCAGTTAAGTCAATGACACATTTTTTTTTTAAAGATTTTATTTATTTATTTGACAGAGAGATCACAAGTAGGCAGAGAGGCAGGCAGAGAGAGAGGGAAGCAGGCTCCCCACTGAGCGGAGAGCCCGATGCGGGGCTTGATCCCAGGACGCTGAGATCACGACCTGAGCCAAAGGCAGAGGCTTAACCCACTGAGCCACCCAGATGCCCCAAGTCAATGACACATTCTATAGCTGCTTGGGACAGACACGATGAGGATGAGGGTCTTCGCTGCCTTTAATGTTCCCTTTCCCATTATCTTTTACTTTTCAGCACATTTAAATGTGAATTTGGGCTTGATTTTCCCTTTCACTATATATATATATATATATATATATGCACATTACAGATCTACGAAGCCGGTTTTGACATTTTAGCAAATGAAGAGAGAACCATGACAGAAGCAGAAATGCAGCTTTTCTATCAGCACAAAGCTGGAGAGGTCAGCTCCTTTGCTTCTACATGTCCAACACACTCTCATATCTTTCTCTTTCCCCAACATTATGTTTATATATTGATGTTAGTTTGGGAGAAAATAGAGTATTAGGAAGAACAAGAATATGAACAGCCAGAAGGCCATGATTTGCTCTTAAAGATTATAGTGTGTGTCAGGTAAAAAGTTCTTTGGCTGCAAGGAAGAGATTTTGATTCTAACTTAAGTGATGACGTGAAGAATTTCTCGGAGGACTAGTCCATAGGTCCCAGAACTGAAGAGAGTTGGAGGAGTTGAACACGAAGGTGCTGGGGAGAAGGACCAAGAGAGTTGTAGGGAGCTTAGGAGCAGAATCCCATGAACAGTCACTTTATGTGCTGCTGTTGGACAACTCAGATTCAACCACTTTCCACTCACTTGTGCTTCTGCCTCCCCTACTTGGGATACTTGGGATGGAGGCCTAATGGACCCCGCTTGTTCGTCGCCCCACCTTTCAGCTGAGGTATGTGTGTTTAGCGGCAGTGGAGGGGGTGGAGAGGCATCACCATTGTCAGCCAGACTAGGCCAAGTGAACTGGGGAAGGGCTCTCCCCAAAGGAAAACTGCTACTTGAAGCAGGGGGAAGAGTTGTAAGGCACTGCAAAAAAGAAGTCTTAGCTACATGGCACCCCATGGTTATCCAGCATCCACATGATTTCCACACACATGTCCCTACTTAACTTGTTATAGTCTCTCATTCAACTCCAAACAAATCAAATCCAAGTCTCATTTTCTCGGTTTTGACTTTGTCTGGGCTCTCTGTGTGTTGCTGGTCACCACCACCCTTCCCATGGGCCCTCCATGGGCATGGTGGCTGGTAGCAAGCCTGCTCACTGACCCCCCTCCCTTCCTGCAGGTGCTATGGGCCCACTGACCCAATACAGACCCCACGACCCCTGCCCTGGGTCACTGTTTCCTCTCCCTGTGCTAGGAGGCATTTGAGAAGCTGGTTCATCACATGTGCAGTGGACCGAGCCACCTCCTGATCCTCACCAGGCCTGAGGGCACTGAGGACGTGATCACTGCCTGGCGAACGCTCATGGGGCCCTGTGACCCTGATGTAGCAAGGAGGGAGCAGCCTGACAGGTGATGTCACCAGCTGCGGTCTTTTCATTTGTCTCAAAACCTGCATCCAAAGAAGCCCAGAGCCTTGCTCTATATGCAGCCCCAAATCCCCATTACATATATTTGGAGAGACCCTGACCTCTTTGTTATCTATGTGAGGAGACCCTGCTAACCTCACTCTCTGATCCAGTCCTACAGTTAGGGAGTTCCACAGTGTGGTTCCAGAAACAAAGGCAACACGTATCCAGGAAATACGGATTACAGGGCCCTGCCAAAGTCTGCCAAGTCAGAGACTCTGGGCAGAGCCTAAGGATCCACCCAGGGTGTTCTGAGGCCCCCTGGATTCTGAGCACCTTGTTCTGCACTTTGCACGAGGCTGCCTTGGCCCTATATTTAGCCTGGCATCAATGCCAAACCCACTGTGCCTTGCCTTTGAAGCTGAGAGAGCCCCAGTGACCAGAAAAGAAACGAGCAAGAGACTAAGTAACTGCAGTTGTACCTTGCAGTTGTAGGAGACCAGAACATTCATACATGGGACTAATAAGACAGCCCAGGGTTCAGATCCTAGCTAAGCACACACTCGAGTATGTCCTTTTTCTGAGCCTCAGTTCTCATCTGTAAAATGGGGTTATGACACCTGTCCTGGGAGCTGTTAAGAGTACTCCCTAGGGCCATACAATAATCCCTCTGTGCCTCAATTTCTTTATCTGAAAAATGCATACTACAATGACTCACACATTGATGTGAGGATTAAATGAGCATATGTACGCACGTGTGTGTGAGTCTGTATGTGTATATACACATATGTATATGAAACGCTTGGAACAGTGCTTGATGCAAAGGAAGCCCTGGCAGTATTAGTGTTATCTTATGGGGTTATTGAGGAATTAATGAAGCACACCTACATCAAGCTCTTGGCAGGGTGTTCGTCCCTGGTAGTGAGATCAACAAAATGGCAGCTCTTGAGCCTACACCGTGACTCACGCATATTTAAATTGAGAATTGTGACAGAGTGTCCTTCACAAAGCTGTGGCACAAACGAAACGGGATCATGTATGTGAAGTACTTGGCAACATGCCCAGCACACCTTCGTCATGAAATAGATGTCAGCTACTGTCCTTGCTGTTGTTCTTGGCATTTCCAACGCAGAAAAAGCCATTTCACAGAAGTGCAGGGGGCTAACTGGTTGCTGGTGCCCATGTGGCCAGAAAGCAAAAATGTTTCTTTTCAAATGAGACAATTGTTTCTTGTGCGTTTTGCCAATGTTCGCAGTCTCCGCGCTCAGTTCGGCACAGAAATGCCCTTCAACGCAGTCCACGGAAGCCAGGACAGAGAGGACGCCAGCCGAGAACTGGCATTGCTCTTCCCCACATTTAAGTTTTCAGATGAAGTTCTAGAAGCCTCTCTATGTAAGTCATCAAGGCAGTTTGTCTTTATTAAATCTGCACTGAATATTTGGGGGGGATAATAACTATGTGGTAACTGAGTCTTCAATCTAATAAGGTCCTATTTGATAAAGAGGGGCCATTATATAACTTTAGCAGTAGTCCTAGTCCGTTCTGTGTTTTCTCAGAGTAATGATGTTGCTTTTTAATCTTCATACCTTTTGTTTTTTTCTGCATTTTTACTTTCATTGCAAAGTTACTTTGCATTTTCTTGTGGAAACCACAGGGAAAATGAAACGAGCTTACTAGAACCCTGCTTCAAAGCCAGTTAGAGGCCAGATTTCACTTCCTCACTTCCTCTGCATTTCCCAAACCTCATGCCAGGGCCTTGGGGGTGTTGCTGGGCAGTGGAGCATTATACAAAAGGACCCTGAGCCTGCTGTGGTTCTTGTATCCCTCAGCCCCCACATTTTGGGAAAAGCATGCTAGGTCATCTCCACCTCCAAATCTGGGTGAGAAACCTGAGAGGTCCAGAGTGCATGTGACTTACCCCACTCCACAAGTAGAACTAGGCCTGGCCCCTGATGCTCCCGCTGCCGAGTTGGGTATCTGTGGTCTGAGCCTGAGGTGAGGTGGGAGGGACCAGGGGGTGAATATCCTAGGAAAAGCAAAGGATAGGAGGGTGGCATTCCTGGGAGAAGCCTGCATGTAGATCTGAAATGGTAACATACTTGTGCACCAATGTTCAGGTTTTAACCAATATATTTACCTAAATGTTTGGTATGTTCAGTGTCCTCAGGATCTGAATCCAGCTGAGTGAGAATAGGTGGTCTGAGGGCATCGGAAGAGGGGATGGGAGCTGGCCTGTGCTGGCCCTCATTTAATTCTCGTGGCTACCTGCTGCCAGCCAAGGGGCAAGCTGGGTGCGATGGTGGGGTGTAGAGTGGAGAGATCATGGCAAGTGTGGCTTTATAGGGACCCGGGTTGACACATGTGAGTGTGTGCTGTGGTTCTTCAAGGCCATTCCCCGGCTGGGAGGAGATCTCACTCTGGTGACGAGGGCCTGCTTTCCTCAAGGAACCTGCCCTCAGAGAGTGCCCATGATGTATTTCCTTATGTGTCCAGGGTCATGACACATCTTCATCCTTTTGGCGGGGGGGCATCGGAAACAAGTGGTAGAACTCAGGGCCAAGTCTGGGGAAAGAGGAGAGCGGCCTGGCTGGGAAATACTCAACGGAGCTAGAGCAGAGTGTTGGGAGATCATGAGCCTGACTTTTGGGCCCCAGGTGATAATGAGCTATGGGGACAGTTCCACAGGGGTCTGAGCCCAGAGACATCCCAGGAATAAATGCCCAGCCTCCTGAAAGCATGACTCTGAAGCAGCCTTGTAAGGGTGCTGATGTGCTGCTCGTCTGATGTGTTAGGCCTTCTCAGTCGTCAGGAGCAGTGTGCTTCCAACTTACCCATTGCTTTCTCTGCTAAGTATCAGGGATCAAGGGCACTGGAGACAAGATCATCCTGGGTTTGAATCCTGGCTCCGCTAGTTATCAGCTGAATAGCCTCGGGAAAGTTATTTACCTTTCTGGGACCCAGTTTCCTCATCTGCGAAATGGAGATAATGACAGACCCATTATTAGCCCCATAATAATATCTCCACAATAGTGATCTTCCCCACAGGGCTGTTGTGAAGATGGAAAGAGACAAAGGATATTGAAGTTCTTAACCTGGGGCCTGACACATTTAAGTCCTCAACATATTACTCATTCTCCTGATTTTTTTTTAAAGGTTTTATTTTTAAGTAATCTCTACACCCAACATGGGGTTCGAACTCACAACCCCAAGATCAAGTCTCGTGCTCCATCAACCAAGCCGCCAGGTGCCCCTCATTCTCCTAATTTTTAATTCCTGGTCTGGAACACACCTATTAGGACCTTTCTCTGCTGTCCCTCCCACCCTGACCCCTCGCTTCACTGTCTGTGATGTACTTATATCCCCTTTTCCTGCTGCCTTGTGGATGGTGAGTGGGACAGAGGACAGGAACAGGGTTATGTTTCAGAAGTCCTGTAGAACATCTGTCATCCCACAGGCCATGGGGCTGAAGGAGCGGTGGGCCCCACTGAGGCACACTGCTTCCCTGAGGACACGGACTGAGAGGCTGGGCTGCTGTTCCAGAGCATGTGACCAGGGACAAGGCCATGAGATGAGCTGTCAGTGCGCTTGAATCAGCCGCCCATAGGACAGCTCCAGAATTGGAACTCACTCTTTTCAGCACCAATACTTTTTTGGTTTAGTTATGTCTTGTGAACAATAAAAATAGTATATATTTTCTTGCCTTATTAAACAGTATATAAAACATACAGTTTTTGTTGTTGTTGTTTTTTGCTACCTCTGGGATTTTATAAAATAAATGGACATCTGTTTTGGTACCTTGGTATGGTATGGTGTCATCTCAGAGGATACTGAGTTACACAGGACAGTGTTTCCCCAATAACAAATCTACTCATTGGACTAAAGTTTAGAGTGAACTTGAAAACAGTGCAAAAAGATTGGATATAAACACTTCTAGGCATATGGACATGGAGGCAGATAGAAATTGGCTTTAATCTTCCTGCTGCCTACCCAGTCATGGGGACAGTCCTGCAATGCTGCCCAGTTGGCGACCCGAAGCTCTCCATGCATCAGGCCATGTTCATAAAGAAATGTTTGGGAGGGGTGCCTGGTTGGCTCAGGATTAAGTATCTGCCTTCCGCTCAGGTCATAATCCTGGAGTCCTGGGATCGAGTCCCACATTGGGTTCCCTACTTGACAGGGAGTCTGCTTTTCCCGCTGACCTCTCTCCTCTCATGTTCTCTCTCTCTCATTCTCTCTTTCTCTCAAATAAATAAATTAAAAAAAAAAAAAAAGAGAAATGCTCGGGAGTTACATTTGGAACCAGGAGTCATCTGATTTTCTTGATGCTCCCTTTCCCCATTTCTTCGGTTTCTGATTCTGGCTACTGCCTAATTTTAAAGTCCGAGAGCTCCCAGTGGAGCCAAGTTGCCTCCAGCTTTCACTAAATCACCTGGTTGAGCCATCCTTCCATGGCTGTGCCCCTGAGGTTGAACATCTCATGAGGTTCTCAATAAAAAGTAACTATTATTACCCCTGTGAGTATTAACATGGATAGCCATTCCCTCCTGCTGGTTTGCTCTTTGGTCTATTTGAAAATTCACTAAGCCCAGGCATCCATTTTCCTTTCTGAGGAAAAGGCGATGTTCTACTCCCCAAGGCAAATGTTAGCGACTTCCTTTCATTTGCTGGTTTTCTCCAGAAGACTTTGCTTGTGACTTCAAGTTCTTTAAATGCGCAGTTAGCTCCCAGAAGACTGCTCTTCATGGGTGCATTACTCTTTGTGCCAATGCCATGCAGGCACTGGGGACAGAAGGATCAAACAGGCTGTGTGAAGCGGGGAGAAAGGCCTGTGATGCTGGATGGGTGGCTGCATTCCCCATGACTTTTTGTCACTTTTAGATGCAAAAATACATGCCCATTGTGTTCATAGCATCTGTACTGACCTCCATGAGAAACAATGTACTCAAAGGGTCCCTCCGCGACAGGATGTCAGGAAAACTGAATCCACTATTCCAGCCCACCATGGGGCTGTGCTCTTCCATTGTGAGTGGGCTCAAAAGGGGGATTCAAAGCCTTGGAGAAGCATTAGAACCCTGCATCTGGTCTTCTACATGCACAGGTGTTACATGGCTCTGAATGAGCTACTTGGGGGTAACGACCATCTGATCTCCCCAGAAGCTGGGAAGCCAAGGATCTTCCATCACTGAAGAGATGAGAAATGGTTTGCCCTAGGTCTCTGAAAGCAGTGGGGTGAGAGGAAGAGTAGGTGGGGGAACTGAGACTGTAGGGGTGATGCATGTTGTTGTCTGTGGTGACCTTTGAGTCTCCCCAGGAAGTAGCTGGGAGTAGTGGGGCTGGCAGAGGGGAAGGCAGGAGGGGCAATAGAGGAGGAATGTGGGGACACCCCCTTTCCATCTATAACTTGGTAGAACATTTCTTTTCAGAATCTGTAAGGTTCAAAGCAGAAGGAATAGAGGTGAAGGGGAGGGAGTGGTGTTGGAGGAGAGAAGTCTCTTGAGAGTGGCTAAAATGTCAGCCCACTCTGAGGGTGGAACTCCTTGGCACAGATCCTGGGTCTGGCTTCCTACAATGGAAGCAAACCAGGGCATGCAGGATGGATGCTGTTTTGGCCATTAAGGCCTCTCAGCTCCTGGGTGTGAATGCCTGATAGGGTGGAGGGCAGGCCCTGCTGCATGAAATAGAGGGTGGTTCCTTTCTAACACTGGCTCTGGCTCCCCACTCAGCAAGAGGGCCAAGTGCACAGCAGAGCCAAGGCCAGGAGTCAGGGGCCACATAAATAAAGGGAGGAAAGGTGGCTACGTAGGCCATGATGTGGCCCTTGAGGCGGGGGTTCCCAATTTTTCCAGAGGCCAGGTAGTAAACCACTACTCTCCTGCTGGAAATGGACACACGCCTCTCTGCCCTGCTATCAGGAGAAATGTGCAAAGGAGCAGGACTGGGGTAGCACCAGCCCCTATCCCAGGTGGCAAGGTGTTGGGACCTCCTCCTGTCAGCTCTCCATTTAGAACTTCGGGTCAGTCTCCCATTTCCCAGGTCTCATTTTCCTGTTTGCCCTGTGGCAAGGGAGTTCCTTCCCCTGCCAACCACCTCACCACCCCTCACGTTCTCCCCAAACCTCCACGATCTGGGGTAGACGTCCCTGGCTTTCTGTTTCTAGGGAGGCCAAGAGGTAAAAGGTGCTTCTCTACGTTTTAGAGATGGGGAAAAGAAGGCAGTGTGCAGTCCGTGAAGAGCACCTGGGCTTCCTTGCAGAGGAAAAGCTGCTTGTGTACGGGGCCACTGGTCATCCACCAAATTCTCGGCCTAAGTCCAGCGGGTGGTGGCAGTGGAAGCGTGGCATTCGTAAGGGGCTGAGGAGAAGATGGAGGCAGTGGACACAACACTGGGGAGGTCCTGGTGGCTGGGAGTGGCCACTCATAAAAGGTCCGCTAGACTTCAGAAGGCCAAGAAGAGGGTTCCCAGACTGCTGCTGATGCCCCCTATAGCACAGCTGGAACCACCACAGGGCACCGGCACCCATTCTGAAATGCAGTCACTTCCCAGCCTCCTATTTACCAAGAAGCATAGGTTCCAAAAAGCCTGGACACGTTATCTTCCAATGTTTCCTAATGTTCTAGACATTTGGAAAACAGACTCCTTTTTAGAAGTTGCTATGATTTTTTTCTTGGCTTTTATTAGCATGTGTTAAAATCATATTATCCAAACACTACCAGAAGAACATGTATTGTTCTGCATAAAGTGCTTAAGGAAAAAAAAATGCAACTTATTAAATTGGACATTCTTTTCTAGTTCATAAATTTTGGGTTACAATCAGGGCACAAAAGGAGAAACAGAATGCAGTATTAGAGAGAGCGAGAAGCTTAGTGAAGGACTCGGGTGGAGACACAGACCACGCCCCATTCCTCCCACTTCCTTGCTGACTGAACACTGCACCTGCCTAAAGCAGCAAACAGCTTTGTTTTAATAAATACATTTTTCCTTCATTCAAATCAGAAAAGTTAATTATAGTAAAGCACTTTTTCTTTGACCATCTGTTTATAGCCACAGGCAAGATTTATCCACAGAGTTTAAGTGTGAAAATTTTATTTCATTGGGCTTTCAGCTTTCTAATGCTATCTGGGTACAAGATTGTCTCAGCAATTCATTATTGGTTTCCTTAATATTTACCTGGTACTTTTAAATACCAACTCTATAGTGTTTGTATTACAAATGCCAACCAAGGATATTTTCTCAGTACTAGAAGTATCAATGAGTGGGCCTATATAAGGCTTTATTCCCCCAAAATTTGATTCTCCTTAAACTGGCGTTCTCACATTAGCACTGACGGCCGCACAAAACCCAAGTTCCTGTTGTGACAGACTTTTAAATTAGTGATGTTCTGGGAGAAAAAAATAACTTTGAAATCTCTGTGTTTGAATCTTGGGTGGTCATACTGAGAACAGGAAAAACTGCATTAAATACACTTAAAAACATTCATTTGCAATCAAACATATTTAAATCCTCCAAGGAAGGTGCAGGTTGGTGATGGGGTGACTGCGGGGTGAGCAACCCCATCAGGAGTGGCTGGTAGGCTTGGGACTCTGCCAGTGGCGCACACTCATGGCAAGCTTCCGGGCCACAGACCTTGATTCTGGGCCGCAGTGCCTCTGAACTTCTTTTAGCAAAGGGAAAGGAAGGCTGGTTGTTCCTTCAAACAGTCAAGAGCAACCTCTGTGAAGTTCACCTTGAAGCCGCCCCAGAAGCTGGAGCTGGGTGCCACACTAAGGGCTGCAGAAGGGCGAAGTAGCACTCTCAGTACAAGAAGCCATCTTTCATCCTCTGGGGAGAGTCCCTTTCCCTCGATCAAACTTCAGTGCTTTGGGCTTCATGCAGGAGAAGATCTCAGCCACATGTCTTACTCAAATTTTGATCTCGTCTTAAAAAAGCACACTGAATAGCAGTCCTGAGTGACTAGTAGAATTAGCTGAGTATAGCTAAGAGAAAACCAGCTTTCTAAACTATCCTGTTCTTCACTTCTTTCTACAGATGAGTCTGTAGAGCATTCTTTAGTTTCACAGTGATATGCTGTTTCAGGAAGCACAAGGTGATCGGACTTTGTTTCCAGGAAGTGATGACTTTAGTTTGAGCATAAGTTTCCATGACTGGCTCTAAAACCTGCCAGATACCGTTACAGCAGTGACAGGATTTAGGGCTGTTGGGAGGCTCCTGGTGCCCAGTTCCTGCCAAGTGCAGCCTGCCAGAGTCAGGGCTGGGCTTTCACTATCAGTAGTTCTATTTCCCCTTGATGGTTCAAAAATCCTATGATTTGTTGCCTCACTCCACTCCACCCTGTCCATTTGACTTGGAAGCCTGAGAGCTTATTGAATTAGGCTGAAAAGAGGCTCTGTACCTGCTGATATTGACGGCAGTAAGATGCTAGCTTACTATTTTGCACAGCACCATATATCATGCCTGTTACTCAGGCCAACTACAGCCAACCTTTTTTTTTTTTTTTTTTTTTTTATAAAGAAAATCTATGTAAGTTGAGGTTCAGAAATGCATATATTTTTTACTTACAAATATTCATCTGACCAAAATTCAACATAACCTTTATGGAACACTTAACAATTGTTTTGTTTTTAAAATAACATTTCATTCAAACTGTATATAATTCAGTAAAGTTTTTTATACAGCAAGCAATGCTTAAACCCTGGAAAATCTGTAGAAAAGAGATTTTCACACAAAA